GTCTTCGTAGACTAACTGACAGTCCAAACGAAGTAGATCGTCCTCTTATTTAGTAAGCACTTGTTTCGAAAATCTGTAAGCGACTGAGGGCATCAGGGTAAAAAAGACTTTTTCGCAAAGCTCATTAGCTATGGTACAAGTGGAGGTTAGCTTCACTGCGATACCGCAATCTCACGTATGGGATTCGCTTTCCGTTTTCGAACATTGTTTTAACTTTTGGCTTCACCATCTCGTAAGAATCGCCCCTGGCTAGGTTATGCAAATTTCTGAGTTAGTCATTAAATGACTTCTCCTGTAGCAGTTAATGGTGTGTGCCGGAATGTTGCCTCTCACGACGTCCGCTTCAGCTCACACTAACGTGATGCCGACACTCTAAGAGTACTCTTAATTTGCCTAGTGGCAACATATTCCTCATATATGCATCTCACAGAAAATGTTACACAGTTGATGTTAACAATACAAAAAGAAGTAGATTTCATTTTGCAGCAGCTCATTCGGTACACATCAGCGAAATTTGCATTTTCGTAGCATGACTGACAATCGGTCTCAAGGTATTGCATTAACACCAGAAATATTGGAATGTAGCAATTGTTGCGTTAAGTCTTATGCCAGCCACATGGACCAGCAGACATGCAGACACTTCCCAGATGATAGTCCTGCAGATCTTAAATTCACTTCGCATTAGTTGTCAGCAGCTGTATTTGGGCGAAAAGCAGAGTGCATGTTAAGATATTGTGGCACTAATAGAGTTCCTCTGTTAAGTAGATTACAAACATTTAAAGATCCAGAGTAAATCGACGGTTGTTTTCCTGACATGCATTATTTTGCTAGCACCGCTCTACGCTGAAATTCACAAGAAATTACCCTTTTTCACTCGGTTATAAAAGCTGTATGATGCTTTTGCCGGCTGAGACTTTTACAGTAACTCTGCTTCCGTCTGACAAAGATGAAGGAAGGTTAGGTGAGTAAAGCTTAAGGGTTATTAAATAATCTCGGCTAAATAGGTTAAGCTTAATTAGCCCCCAATTTTTATGAGTTTTACTTGGGTCGATGAGGAAAAAATTGAGTTATTGTCCTAACCCAAGCAGCTTGCTACAATTTCGCTAGGCGTCAATGTTTCACCGACCGCCAAACTTTTGGACTTATATGAAAAATATTTTCAAGACTTTGCTTTCGTTAATATGTTTCTGCACACGAGTATTTTATGACAGCAGTTTGGTGCGAAAACCAAGGGCATTACTTAAAAATCTTAAACAAGCAACCTACATTTGTTCAGAAGGATCGCGCGCAGGTTTATTATTAATCACGTGGGCGGTTGTTGGATTCTAGAAATCCGTGTGAACGCACGGAGTTGCTTTCTACACATTAAAGTCACCCAATTGGCGCTCATGATACGGATATCTGCGGTTACTTCCTCGAGTAACGAAGAGAACAAATAGCCAAACGGCAGGTTTCCCAGGTATTAAAATCACCACTGTCTTGTTTATTGCCTAAGAACTTCACACTTTGAATTTTTTGACCGTTCCATGAATAGTGAGTATGATGTGACTGAAATTTGGAGCCAAGGGACTCCTCTGTCTCAGTACGGTCGAGAAGGCGATCGATCGAGTGGACAAATGAGTTTTTAAATGCACAGCTAGTAGTACATTAGCTCACACTTGTGAACAGATCGTTTATGTGCAGAGCCGGTGCGAGACTTTCTGTTGACGCGGCTGGATGAACTAGGCACATACGACATGGTGACAGCAGCGTTGCTTTGGCTGGCAGACGTTTATAGTGATGCCGGCTCCAGTACAGATGACGGAGTGCACGTTGCACAAAAACTTGCGCCTGTGGGGAGCGAAGTGGACGAACTTCGCGACACTTATCCAGTTGGATGAATGTTCTGCGCAGCAGCAGTTTGCCATGTTCAAACATGCCATCGGCCATGATGCGATGCTGATACTAAACGTCTGGCATTGCTGCAATCACAAAAAATAACCCGATCTTTCAGGAAAGCTTAAGAGACTTGGTGATTATTTTGAAGCCCGGTTAAACCAGTTCGCCCGTTGCTGTCGATCGATCCACGTTGGGTCACTAGATAGTGCAAATCCGCAAGAAGCGCAAAAGATTTCAGTAAATAACAATTGACAGCATTATGAGGATGCACTAATGCAAAACTAGCGATCCGAGGACAACTGGTTCAACCGCAATCTGATACTGGAGGTATCGTACGTTTCCAACCCCAAAATATTTCCACTAATCCACTGCAAGACCGTCTTCGAAAGCTTTCACGGCGGAAAAGATGCGTAACATACCCGAATCAAGACAGCATTATACTTTAGCGCCTGGAAATGAAATATGGTTTAAGCAGATACCTAGGGTTGGTATCGGAAAAAGACAGCAGCAGAGTGTCGGAAAAGAAAGGGATGGCATCAACTGCGGCTGAAAAGAAGATATGGTGAACAGGATCTTCACTCGGACGAGAAGCCGCATCAGCCGAATGAGCCATCTTATAACGCATCCCAGGTTCGAAAGCTCTGTCGCAGTGGAAGGCAATACGGAACCCATGGCACCAAAACAACGAAAAAGAAAAAGGAAAGGATGTGATGTTGCTAAAAGCTGGAGCGAAGGAACTCGTCTATCTCAGTGCGGTCGATCAGACGATGGATCGAGTGGACGGGTGAGTTTTAAATACTGTTATTTGTACATTATCTCAGACTTGTGAACAGATCGTTTGTGTGCAGAGCCAGTGCGAGATTTTCTGTTGATGCGGCTGGATGAACTAGACACACAACAGTGAGTCCCGTAACTCGGGATAAAATGTAATGTGCTGCGAAGTAGAATGGAGAAACACTGAGATATAAGAAAAGCTTGCCCTGTGACGCAACAACAATAATGATGCCTGTAATCCGTTTATTATACGCACGGTGATTAGTTGAGTCACTTTGCTTTGTGCGCTAATTTATGATCTGTTTACAGAATACTGCGTTGTGGCAGAAAGTAAAAATTTATATTTGCACAACTCTACCAGAATAAATGTTATAAAACGGTTCAGTCACCTGTTGATACTCTAATCGCTCTTCCAATTCTTATGTACAGTTCATAAATATCTGACTTACAATAACACTTAGGCCAGATATGTGAGCTGTCATTTTTAGCTTCAAATGTCCCCTGAGTCGAAGGATATTGACACATAAGTCCAGCCGAATTTCAAACGGATGCAAAGAGTTTTGCCCCGCGACATGTTCTATCGGACTGCTCCAAACATTTACTGCTCTCCGCTCGAAGCACATGCGTTGTGGAACTCGCTTCTTAGCCGGGATAAAAAGCTTGTACCTGTGTCCGCCAGTGTTACATTGCGTTTGCAAGTGGAACAGCGGCTCCTGCATGGGGTAGTCACCAAAACGTAGTATACGGTAGGTCATGGTGAGATCAGCTCGCAATGGAAGTTAGGATAATTTGCACATTGGAACAATGACCTACTTAAAGGGAAAAATCCTAAGTTTAACAGCTCCTGCATGCTGGTCAGAGTGCATGTTCAAAATGTAAACACAAATTGTCAGCAGAAGTAGCTTCACGCAGGTGAACTCACCGCGGCATAAGTATTATAAACTGGAAATCCACTGTAAGTCCATAATTAATGTTGACTAATGGGAGATCGGTAGAAATCGTGTCAACACCTGGCGAACATATGTAGAAGGAGAAAAAATAAAACGTATTCTCGCTGATCGTCAGTGAACTCTCTAACAGATACACGTGTTTAGCCATGGGTACTGAATCATGTGAGATACTGCGGCAAAAATGAGTGAACGGTCAACTCGGCCTTTGAACTCTACCAGTGTTTGAGCACAGATGACAGTTTTCTGTAGGATATTTGCGATTGGCAAACGCATATAGAAAAGAAATTCCTACGAAATTTCAAACGAATGTTATATTTTGACAGCTTGAGATGTTGGCCTCTCAGATTACTGTTGTGAGCAATTGGCGGCAAGTGCCGTTTTGTTCTCACAAAATCTGGTAAGTCAAAAATTTCCACAAACATTCGCTGGTATTGTCAGCTGAAGACCTGAGCATTCAAAGATCTCCTTCGCACTGCGGACAGTGCAAACTTACGTCCTTGGTTGCTTGAGGTTGGGGTGTTTCCAAGTTGGTGAGATCTCTCCTCAGCCATGGCTGCCAGACGTGTGTAGTGTATTCTACATGTGATGTATGTATGAGCCGAGCTGTTGCAAAATCGACGGGTCCATTCGTCCGAATGCTCGCCTCAGGAGACCGATGAGTTGCAGGTACCTTCTTGACGCGTGTTCAGCCTAATGCGTAAATCCGAGCTCGGCCTGGTCCAAAACGCCCAGACGTTTTTCGCCAGAACTCATAGTTGCCGCCAGCTTTAACCGTAATTGCAGCTTTCTACAGTTGTCCACATTAAACCGAATCATATATTGGGTTGACCATCCGTAAAGCCTATGCAGATCGGCCTAATGATCGCTATCACCTTGAGTTTGTCGGGATAGAGTAGACGGTTCGAGCCAACAGGGAGCATGATATCTTTGAAATATAAATCAAAAGTGACCGTAATCCCGGAGCTGATCCCTGTAGCAAGCCGCATTCCACTTGGATCGGATCGGATAGTTATTCGTACACCCTTACTTCCAAGTTCCAGTGTAGGAGATAGTTATTAATCCAACCTAAGAGGACTTCGCCAATACCAAAGGTCTGGAGCTTGGTGAGCAGCATCAAATAGTCTAACCGGTCGAACGTCTTTGAGAAGTCGAGACAAACCACATCAACAACGATGCCAATGTCTACTGCTTTGCTAAAGCTGGATAGATCAAGCAGTAGATTTGTAGTGCACGGTTGATTTTGTTGGAAGCCCTGTTGTCCTGCTGTCAGGTCGTTAAGTGCTCCTAAGTAGGCCGTTAGCGCAACAACAATAATGGCCTCCATGACATTTGAAAGTACCGGTAGTAGGATCACGGGACGATAGTCTGAGTTGACTAAAGGGCGTTTAGCTACCGCTGTGGTCAATTTTATCTCCCATTTTATACCTATATAGTTTTGTGTCTTTTCGGTGGAGCTATGGTTTATTTATATATGTAAAAAATATCTCGCAATAATTCTCATTTTTGTGTTCTCACTCTCATGAGCTACTAAAGATAAGAATTTCGTACAGGGAGTATCTCCTTGTGTGTATTTTATCTTAAGCATCATTTCTATGGGTTTATTTATGTTCACGTTTTTACATTTTTATCCTAATTTGATATAGTTTCTTACAGGAATAATATATATTTTTAACTTAATAATGCCATTTAATACTAGTTCTTCCAGATATCTCTCCAGAGCCCTAATGCGCAGCTAAAGGGTACCCACAGCCTTTAGGCGGATCAATAGTGGTTTTCTTACCGATGGTACTAGTTGTATTAAATGATACTAGTAAGTTATGTAGGATATTAGCTAGGTCCTTTAGGAATCTATAACGGGAGTTCTCGGAACGAAAATGTGGGAATTAGGACAGAACTTAATAACTAGCTATTATTATTGCACGAAAAGATATGACGGATATTGATAGTACTACATTACACATTTTAGAGAGTATAACAGTTTTAGGTGCCACCATCATATTCTTTTTCAACGCCATACGTATTTTTGGTTTTTATTAGGTCTGTCTTAGGAACAAGCTACTCTGCCCGCTTCACTTCTCTGATTTTAACTGAAGCCATCGTTGTGGATTAGGCACTATTAATTTCGCACACTTATTTTTCGTTTTTGTCTTTTATCCTTGTCTTTGCTCACTCGTTCCTCACTTTGCTCTGAACATGGCTACCCTCAAGCTTGTACTAATCTTTATGTTATTATGTAGCCAGAGATTTAGGGAAAATGCCACCTTTAGTCAACTACTAGCATAATGGACTTGATCCACATCCATTCGTCCATGTCATATGAATTACATCAAGCCGATCCGGCGTAGAACCAAATGCTTCCTACCCTACCCCTGTTAACTTCAACAGCGTTTTTCCAATGTAGGCCCCACACCTGTGACATCTGCCACAATACATTTTTCACTGAAGCAGCTCTTTCTCGCCATGGGGATATCACCAACGACATCCCAATTACCTACCTCCCCATGATGAGCATGTAACCACGTGTAATATATATAATCGTCATTTCGCATCAACCCGGGCTCTAATAACTCACTATCGTCGGACACAACCTACAGACTACGACCCCATGAAGGCACCTCGGACTTCAAATACTTGCATTTATTGAAAGAAAGAAGAAAAATCGGCAACTTCTACCATATGCGATGGACATTTGTTTAAATGTTACTTTCTTGGATCAACTTCTTATCAACATTTAAGCTGAGTATACCTGTCGTACCATTGCGGACATTAAAAAGCGACTTCAGTATCTAAAATGGAAACGTTTCACATGCTCTCGCCGCAGTCTTAATATCGCGCCGGATATCTCGGCCGCATCGCTTGCTACCAAAGCTAAATGTTCATCTGCCTCTGACCTTCCACTTGCAATGTCCCCCAACGTTTCATCAACGCTGTCCTTTCCACCCCCAAATCGCCCTACCTCCCCTACTCCATCTACGACAAAACTTGAGTTAAAGGATCCGCCACCCGCAGCTTTCATCCTTCATTCCTCAGATTCGCGTCGTTTAGCCATTCACTGGGTGGGATCCCACATCTACAAATGACATCGCTTTGTTCATGGAATCTACAGCTCCACTCCTACACGTTATCTACTCTTCCCAGCCGCGGATGGGGCTTATGGGCAGCCCGCAGCACAGGTTTTGCTTGTTCGCTCTCGTTCCCTGTTTCGAATGTTTGAACCAGTGGTCCAGCTGGTATTCATATGAATGAATCGGGGACGGCAGCCTTGGATGACCCCAGCTTCAACCCGTGAAACCGTTGTCTTTTGTAACCTGTAGGATCGTGCAGTCGATCGAACATATCCGCAGACGTTATATCTTAACTTTTAGCTTTAATTCCTTCAACGGAACGAAACCCCCATACAGTTTCACAATCCCCGATACTTCCGGTCCCGTCCCAGTTCAATCGGATCCCACTGGCCTGTAGTATTTTTTATGTAGCTTATGTTCCCGGCTTTTCCTTACCTGAAGTGGTCTACAATGGCATTTGATGGCTCACCGCCGGAAACCAACAACAGCTCTTAATCCAGTTCCCACAACCGGAATTCAAGTGCATAGCTACCAAGGCCGCAGCCTGATATTTCCCACGAAAATCGGCCTATTTTAGCAGCGTAGATATAGGCAACCTTCGCCATATATCACTGACTGTTTGATGCGTCTATCTGCTCAGACTTTTACGTGGATGTCGCACGAGGACAACGAACCTATCTTTCGAGCATCATAACTGCCTCGGGTTTGTGCGATATAGCTGGATTTGCTTCGGCAGCTTCAGAGATTATTCCCATTGAGGAATCTTAGCGGTGTAACGAATCGCTTCTATCAATTTGGTTGGTATTTCCATCACCTCAATATACGGATCGCACCGAAGGACCCGCCGTCTTTGGCCAACAGACCGATAAAGCAACAGCCTCAGGGTTCGGTTGAGGTATATCTGTGAGACGCTCCGCCACGGGCTCTTTCCTCCTCTCCTACTGTGGAGAGGCGCAAGTAAGAAATTCTCCAAACTCTGGCCTTGAAGAAACCTC